AAGAATTTCTGAATGCAGGCTTTGGATGCCATCTTAACCACAACTTGGGCTTTTAATGGGTTGGAACCAACCTCTAGGGTGGATACTTCCTGTGAACTTTCCACATATTTAAAGGCTCAGTATATTAGCACTGGGGCCATCTTTATTTACTTTAATTCTACTTTGAGTCTAAGGGTTGTCTCCTAGATGCCCATTCCACTTTCGATTAGTAAAGTTTGTGTTACTTTTGGGTTTTATGAATGAGGGGAACTTGTGACTCATTTGCAGAGCAAGTAAACTCCAAATTAAAACTCAGAAAATGATGACTTCTCATAGCCCACCCCTGAAACTGCCCATGTGGAACCATGAGCCTGGATTCTGTCTGGAAGTGTTCTTCTAGAGTTAATTAGTATTATAACACTTATCCATTTCAAAGCATATCTAAAACAATTAATGTGTTTCCACTCATAGGAAGAAGGTCATTTTACTACAAAAGAAGGGTCACATTTCATACTGTACTATGGTTTTTACATTTAGCTTATTTGAAATCTTGGCATTTTTGGTTTTGCACTGCCAGTTGACCCATATGTGACTGATTGGTGCCAACATAATCTGCACCCTCTTGGGTAAATTCATACTGAAGGAGGAAGCTTTTAGTAATTTTGAAGTTGATTACTTGACATGAGAATCAAATTTTTATAAGGTTGGAGCTGCTGGGATCTTAGGCCCAGCCAGTGACTCACTTTATAACCTTGCACTTCAAAGGATCTGGAAGTTAGGGGAAAACCAGGGCATTATTAAAAGAAAAAAATGTGGCTTCTGAATTCCTGGATAAGGTTATAGATCTGAAAGAACAGTAGCATTTGTGCACAATTTAGACTTTAGGAGGCCGCTACGCTCTAAAATTAGTAAAGTACTCAGGAAGGAAGAATATAGGTTGGGGGAACTGCTTAAGTCCCATTTTCTTTCTCTTTCTTTCCTTTTTTTCTTTTCTTTCTTCTTCGTTTCAAAAATATTTTACATAAAAGAACATTATATTGTCTGCACCTACCTAGGTGGCTTGTCTATATAGTACAACATACCCTGTTTAGAAACATTTTAGTAGTTCGCAGCAATCAAACTATGCAATCAAACAAGGTCAACAATGTAACTTTGAGTTTATATAACTCTAAAAACATCCGCTAGGAACTCCTACAATGTTTTTCTACACATCAAATTTTCTTATTTCCAGTTTGATCCTGATAGGTAATTTCTCAGGTAACAGTGACATATTACTAGAAATTTTATCCTTTTCTTGGACAATAAAAATATTTTTTATGAAGCACTTTTCTCTATAGAACCTATAAATATATTTGAACTTGTTCTAACATAGGCACAGAATCAGTGCCTTAAGTGGGTCAGGTTGTAATTGGGTGATTCTACTAATGAACTCTGAATGTTAAATAGATAGGCATCTATTATTTTAAACTCTGTGGCTTCAGGGAAGCTTCATGAGTGAGCTGAAAGTATTTAATGTAGTTAATGAACATTTCAGGAGCCCTGCAGGGTGAAAAGACAAAGGTCTCTCTGGGGCAAGGCCTAGCTTTTCATAGATTTTTCTGGTTACAGCCCCAATCTCTTACTTTGTCCTTTTATGACAGTATTTATCACAGCTACAGAGAGAGGAGTCTGCCCCTTATAAGCACTGACAACTGACACTAGGGGTCACCCTGCGTAGTTCTGGGGCAAGGTCTCAGAAATCTTTTGATCAAATGGGACTAGTTAATATGAAAATGTTAGCATTAGTTTTGAAATAAGTTACATGTGGAACATGGCAGATAACCAACAATGATTTGTTAGATTTAAATTATTTCAGCACATTCACTTTACAACTTGCCATTAAGAAGTGCTATGAAGGGGCCAGCAGGTAGCGTGGTGATAAAGGCTGGATTCCCATGGCTGACTATGGTTCTAGGCCCAGAACTAGCAGCTTGCTTTCTCACTTTTCCTCGCTCTTTCTCTGTCGCTCTCTGGTGAGCATATGTGCCCTTTAGCAAATTAAATAATAATAATGATAAATAATATTTAAAAAGAAATGGTATGTAATTGATCCCCAAATTCTCTGCGTTCTTGCTGCCTTTTCTTTTTTTCATATTCTTGATTCAAGAAGACTTCATCAAACATGTACAAAATAAAAAACTGCCTTTGTACCATGGCAAGCTACTTCTCAGGAATTCATTGCTTCTCAGCTTCTCTCATGAATACATCCTCTTTGCTTTCTACAAAAATCTTTGTGCTGGCTCTACCTTTTCTTCAGCACAAAGAAAACAAAAATGTTTTTGGACAATGAAAGCATGTGCTCTTTGATGTGATGTTTTTGCTTTCTTTCTCAAATCCAACTACAAAACACTTACTGCCTAGAAGTAGAAATGCCAATAATAAAAATGTCAGTTCTAGGGTGCTTTCTGAACATAGTCTTTGTAAAACAATAACTAAATTACAAGGAAATATTAAGAATGAGAATAAAGAATTCATGAGTTTTCTATCGTCTAACCCAAACATATTGGTATGAGTCAGCAGTACCTTTAACTGGAAGTGCTCTTGGCAAGGAAAAGCAAGGCTGGATGCTTAAATTATAAGAAGAACAGAAAAAAATAAAATACTAGCTAAGAAGGAAGAAGCAAGTAATAGAAGCCAGAAGAAGAAAGAAAAGGTGAATTTGGCAGAAGACTTCTAGGAAGGATTACCTAGATATTTGCTGCCAAACTCTTATAATCAAATAGAAATTGCTAATCAGAATTTTTTTACTGTTGGTTCTGAGAAACGTTACATGGATAATTCATACCTTTCTAAATTCAGTTAGACATGATTATCTAAATGCAACCAGGATAGATCTTCTTGGTAACTCAATACCAGATTACTAATTTTGCTGTGAAAGAAGGTTATAGAAATGTTCCTTTGCTATTTTAGTGATGAATACTTATGAGCAGAATCCAATATCATCTCTTTTATACTGAACTTCTCAACATTTTGGGTAGAATTATATTTTTAGCATTATTTTTCTTAGCTTCTATGTAGCCTCCCTATTTTTTCCCACTTGGGATTAATCTCTCCCACTTTTGCACTTGTGTAGGATTTGTTTGAAGCCCTATTTTAGCCTTCAAGACATTTTCGTTTCTTTTAGTGGTAGATGCTCACGGATCTATCTCATACACTAGACCTAGAGTTTGGAAAGCTATATTTTCTTTCTAATCTTTGTATATCAGGCACTTAACGTGGCTCTTAGGATATAGTATTCACTCAAGTAAAGCCTCCAAGATTGAAAGATAATTGGTTACCAAAATTTAGAAAGAACATTTCCATGAGATTAGTGGTTTATCTGAATTCTTGGGCTAGGAGATTTAAATGGAAGGGCTATTAAAATGGTGTGCAGTGTACATGTGTCAAATATTTTAATTCCTTGACAAAGTGAAAGCAAATTGGTAGTAAAATGTATGAGAGTCACATAAAAAAGAGTTCTTTGGATAAGTTCTGCTGCTGTACCTGGACTATTGTCAAAGAAAGCATCTGCAAAAGAGATCTATGTTTTCTAAATATATTAGCAAGGTTTATATTACCTAGACATGTTTAAAGGGAAGTACTTTTATACTCATTCCTTGAATGTAGGTTTGAAGAAGACAGGATGCCACATGACATTACTCCACACTGCACAGACATTGTAATGCAAACTCCTTGTAAATGTGCTTTACCAAAAATATAGCTTGGTTAAATGCTCTTTCTGGTAAAGGGTGACGGGCTCAGGAACACTTCTCAGGCACAGAGTTAAATATTTGAAAGAACTCCTTGTCCTCACACTGCAGAGCAATGGCAAGGAAGGGCTGCTGGCCAGACCTGAGAATTGTCTCATCACACCTAACTATTCAGAACCGGACATTTTAATAATGGTGTCTGTTGACAATGGATCTCATGTGGCCTAGGTTCTCTACCTTCCCTTATTATTTTCTTAGAGTGAAACTCTTACCCTGGGCTTTAGCCCAAATTTCTAATCTGGGAAAATGTGTGTTGTCTGCCTCACAATGCTTGATTAGGACCATAAGCCCTCAATTTCTGCTTCTAGGCAATGCAATAAGTCTCATTTTCCAGAGCAAATCTGATAGGTATTTTCAAAGAAAGCCATAATTGGTTGCTTTTCTTGAACTGCTGAAAATTAAAGAGAGCAGGGTTGCAAAAACCATGAGAAATTCATTTTCTCTGCTTACTGATAGCTAGGATTTAGGGAACATGTAAGAAGAGTCTGGCTTTCACTCAGTTCTGATTGGCTAAGATAGAAACATTTCTATTCCTTTTTCCCTAGGGCTCTATAGTCCTTTCCAAGGAATGTCATAGAATCTGACAGCTGGGGCACCTGGCTCAGAGGGGAAATAGTCATTTGCCTCTGGGGTTTGTTTCCTTGCTGACCTCTTGCCACAGGACTGAGGGCAGATGGTTACAGCCTTGACCTACCTCTCAGCCTCTTCAGCCTCTGCTCCCGTCGCCTTCTCCGGACAACCAACAAGAGTGCAAACAGCAGCAAGACCCCCACCAAGATACAGGAGATGGTCACCAGCATCTTCAGCCCTTCGTTGGTCGTCAGCCCTTCTTCACTTTGGACGACTGATTTAATGAGTGGGGGGATTGTACCTGAAATCAGGCCCACGATGTTAGATGGCTATTAATGAAGACGACAAGATGCAGTTTTAGGGATGATGAGTTATAAAAATTGTGTCGTGTGATCTAAGGGTGTCCAAGGTGATGCTTAGGCCTTGCTAACTTACTTTCTTCCTCATTAAGAGTCTGGCTTTCACTCAGTTCTGATTGGCTAAGATAGAAACATTTCTATTCCTTTTTCCCTAGGGCTCTATAGTCCTTTCCAAGGAATGTCATAGAATCTGACAGCTGGGGCACCTGGCTCAGAGGGGAAATAGTCATTTGCCTCTGGGGTTTGTTTCCTTGCTGACCTCTTGCCACAGGACTGAGGGCAGATGGTTACAGCCTTGACCTACCTCTCAGCCTCTTCAGCCTCTGCTCCCGTCGCCTTCTCCGGACAACCAACAAGAGTGCAAACAGCAGCAAGACCCCCACCAAGATACAGGAGATGGTCACCAGCATCTTCAGCCCTTCGTTGGTCGTCAGCCCTTCTTCACTTTGGACGACTGATTTAATGAGTGGGGGGATTGTACCTGAAATCAGGCCCACGATGTTAGATGGCTATTAATGAAGACGACAAGATGCAGTTTTAGGGATGATGAGTTATAAAAATTGTGTCGTGTGATCTAAGGGTGTCCAAGGTGATGCTTAGGCCTTACTAACTTACTTTCTTCCTCATTCCCCCCCCTGCTTCCCCACCGGCCCAAATGTCCAACTTGCTGTATAGCTCATGTTCTAGATGAACTTCGTTGTACCATGAACATCTGGGTGCAGGCACATGAAAGCATAATGCCAGGACTTGTTTATCAAAGTCACATGCAAATGCCTGAAGTTAAGTGTGCTCCTGACTGTCAACCATATGACAATTGACAGAAGCTTTTGGAAAATTTGTACATTAAAGAAAGAACAATGAGTTTGGTAAAGGGACAGGAAAGTCCACAGGATACTGTACCAGATACATTGGCTTGAAGTTGTTCAAATCCCTTTTTATTTGATTGTTTACTTACTTTTTTAATCACAGGTGAAGGTCAAATCTACTTTGAAAACTCCCATTTTGAGATATAAGAACTACAGACAACTATTCAAAGGCCACCTATCTAGGTCTCTAAAGTTACTGACTGGTCATCCTTAAACTGTGCTTTGAAATGTAGACTATTCAAAATTATGAAAAAACACTCAAGGAGAATAAATTCTTAGCTATTTTAAACTGTTTTTCATCCAGAGATTGAATATAATGGTGCAGAAACTTAATCACTGACATCCATGGGGTATGTATTTGATCGTCAGAAAAGTCATGACTCATTTTGCATAGAAAAACAGAAAAATGCGTCATGACTTTTCTAACTACCTAATATTTTTACCATTCTACCTTATGTAAGATATTCTATCCCACTGTATTTTCTATGTAAAACTAGGGCCAGAAAGTCAATGCTTTGAGACACATAATGGAAAAAATATATAATTTCCCCTTCAGTAAAAATGGTCTTTTCCTGCATTTAGTAAGTAGAACAGGCATAATAGAACCCTACTTTCTGCTAAAGATACAGAGGGTGTTCTTCCAGCTTTACAGTTGGAAAGAACAGCTGTAAAGTTGTTTATAGTTTTTTACAGTTACAGTATGGAAATCCATACCCCCAAATGCTCAGAAACCTAGGTGAGTTACTTAGGGGTGCTAATAAGGATGGGTCTGCAAAGCCAAGAAGACATAGGACAAATAGAAGACTTTGGCTAAACAAATGGCAGAAGAAAGAATCAAATTAAAAAATGGAAGTTTCTGGAAATCACACTGATGGGAATGTAAGGCTAATTGTTAACGTTCCTTTTTTAACCTCCCCCCCCCAAAAAAAAAATTCTCCAGGCAGATGTGACAAAAGGGATATTAAAGCTCTATTTACCCTAGATTGCTTCAAAGAAATCTGCAATATTTTAAAAAGAAAATAAAAAGATACATTCCTATTTCATAGTGTAATAAAATCAGATTTCAAAAAATTAAATGTAGCTCACAGGACTTTTATGTAATTGATGATACTGGATAAAATAAAAACATTATGTGTTTTTTAGAAGGTAAGTATTTAAACTCAGCAGAGCACTTTGTAAGTTAGAATCACAGTTTCAAATTCAATACATGAGTAGTTTCTAATTAAATTATTAGCTGTGAGCATATCACCAGTGCACACATTTAGGTGGAATGCTCTGGCATGAGCACATATTATAAAGAAGCAGCAGGCCATGGTGAGAAAATATTACAAGCCAGTAATCTAAAGCAAGATAAAAACTGACTATTCAAATGTGTACGCATGCACAGAGCACTTTGTGCTCCCTTAAATGCTAAGTGAGGTGTTAGGTAAGTGTCAAAATTTATTTTGTAAGAACAATGGGTTAGACTATGTTATGGGGAGAAACCAAATTAGAATCACTGCTCTTCCCGTGAGTGATGCTTTGTGATGGGACATCTTTGCATGATGCTACTCATAGCTGAGGGCTAAAAAATTAGAGAGATGATGCATGGAATGCATCAGCTCCAGAAGAGAAACATTGCTGTCTGGGAGCTGCCTAGGCTGTCCTACAGCCATGGGAGCAGCTGCGGAAGCTGGTGTGCCCAGTACCAGAAGGGCTTCCCCCTGAGGACCTCTTGACAGTCACGGGACCCAGGTGGGATGCAGGGGACGAGGCCGGGCTCTGGCATAGGAGGACTTTGTGAAAGGATTGTCATAGACAAAGAGTAAGGGGTGGGTTAACATGGTATGCTAGCACTGAAAGAACCAGCCTGGCCATCCAGGGCTGTCAAAAGAAAAAGATCAGTTTTGGAGCCCAGCAGCGTTGCCCATGGAGCTCTGTTGGGTCATTTCTAAGATCCTTGGGTTTGTAGTCACTCTTTTCTTAAGATAGGTGTGAATTGTACCCCAAGGAAGCTCTTGCTGTAGCACTGATGAAACAAGACCCCAAATGCACATTGCAGAGAAGGAAATCACCCCTTACACTGATGAACGGTGAATAAAGGACTTGCGAGTATGTACTTCCTTGGTTAGCTCATTTAACATCATGGTAGCCTGACCAGTGGGGATGGACAGAAAACTTTGTGGGGAGCTAGATAGGAGCTCCAAATACTCTGCTGAATTGCTACCGATTTACCTTTGGATTAGAACTCTTAACCCAATCACTGCTAGACTGCAGAAATCAACATCAACAATTTGTTACTGAGGTTATTCTAAACTTTCCTCACTAGGTAACATTCAGCCTCAATGGACAGGAAATTTCTTCAGATATCAATAAATGGCTCGTAATACTAAAAAATAAGGGTAGACCTTTACATAACATACATTCAGTCAACTAAATGTCAAGAGACACATTATCTAGTTTTTATAAGGCACATGCAAGCTGCATGTGTGTATGCATGTTCATGTGTATGCATGTTCACATGTGTGCATGTGCAAGCACATGATTGTACCCTATTACAGTATCCTATTTCCATCACTGCCCCTGATTCTGCTCAGAAACTGATATAAGCTCCTTTGCCATGAAAAACTGTTTCTGTACGTGAGGTTTAAGGACTTAATGAGAGTAAAAAAGAAAGTTGTCATGTGGATTGGGATGCGGAGGGACGGGGTGAAGACAACAAGAGCAATGTTAGTGTGTAGTCTTTGACAATGGCCCAGGACCATGTGGTAAGGACTTCAACCCTAGGTGAAATTACCCCTGCACCAAGACACCCCGGTGAAATCCCTGCCATTGTCATTCTTTATTTCTGGGTATAAGTGATGGTCATCTGGGTACAATGAACTTGGGAACCCTACAGCAAGTTGATTAAATGGCTTGAAAACCTAATGGGCTCTGTGTGTACTGGTCACACCATGGCAAGGACAAATGTTAAATGGAGAACGGTGCGTGGTACACACACACACACACACACACACACACACACACACACACACTTCCTGAGACACAAACAGGAGTCCCATAAAGCCAGTTAGCTTACTTCCATCATAGTTCAGCGTGGCAAAGTTGGCCTGTTTTTCTGCACAGCCAGCGCTGTTGCATACTCGCATCTGTAGTTCATACCACGTGGCTTCCTGTAAGTCATACAAGATGTAGGACTTGGAGAGAGAGGTCCGCTGAGCTGTGGTCCAGACTGTGGTCCCAAAGGGCCTGTACTCCAGTGTGAAAGAGGTGATGGGACAGCCACCATCATTCCACCCAACGAGGTTCAGCCTCACGCGTGTGGTGTTGATGCTGGCAAATAGTTCTTGTTCCTTTGAGAACTGGGGCTCTGTGAGAGAGTTCACACTGTGGTTAGTACATAGCACACATGGGTAAGAGCTACTCACATACCTACACACTTCCCTATGGCTGTTCTCTTCATGTATGCAGGAGCTCAGGCCAGATCTGGGACTCAGGTCACTAGTAACTGGTTTGCTACTAATACTTTACGGGCCAAAATGCCTATGTGTGAGAGGGAAATTGGGTGAGTAGAGGTTAAATTTGTGTATCTTAGAACTTTCTGAGACCATGTGATTTTCATGCCTGGAGTTCTTCAATGTTTCATACTCTGTAGTATGCTGTATGACCCATTTCCATTCTCCTTCAGGAAGACCTGACTCAAGAGAAGATAGATTTGGATTTGGGAGATATCCACAGGTATGCCTCACTGTCCAAACTTGACACTAGAGTCCAGGGACCTGATGGATATAATTCTGCATAAATCAATCTTTTATACCAAACTCAGCCACCAGACTTAAATAACACCCTTGCCATCTCATCCCTCACTCTCCTGCCACCCAAGTCCACCCACCTGACAGGTGCAGATGAGAAGGACCTTCAGGTACCCGCTTTTTAGCTCCTACTGTTCACTCACTGCACTCTATCCCTCCCTCTTTCAGGAATTCTTAGCCTACAGATTTAACCTGTGGGTTTTATCTTCACATTACAGATTAAAAAAAAAATTCACATTGAAGTGTTTACAATATGTCCCAGTTAGTTTCCACCAGAAAAGTGGGGACTAAGATGTAATGTGAAAATTATAGATAACTAGGGGAACAACCCCAAAAGGGGTGAGAAGGCAAATTTCATTTCATGGCTACTCTACATTGGCACTTCATACAGGCACCAATGCCTTTGATTTTCAATTAACACTCTTCTTTTTAACTGCAAATATAATAATAAAAAAGAGAACCAGAAGCTCTGTTAGGAGTGGGTGTGTCTTTCATTATCCTGTAACAATGCTGTGCCCATTGTAGGAATAACAGAGTGCAAAAACAGAGACAAGCATACAGATAAATAATGACTCTTTCATAATTCCAAATCCCCTTCTCTTTGGGAATCAGAGGGAGTTCAGAAATGAACAGAAAGCATGCCTACCTTTTCCTAATGTTTTTGCTTCTATGATTTCACTTATGCGCCCTGGTCCCACTCCGTTTTGGGCAGTAAGAGTGAATTTATACCAAGTCCCGCATTTCAGATTTTCCAGGCGATAAGAGCGTTCACTTGGGCTGATAGGAAAACTCCCCCACTGCTCGCTGTTGTCCTCGGAATACTGCAAGATGTACCCTTCAGAAAGCAAGAGATTCAAGTGAGTATTCTTTGCTTTCCACCAGGAGATGCCTGGTGTTTGCCTTTTATGTGAGTAGAAGGATAAGAGTTCTTAAGACTGGAGTGTCTTCAGAAGGAAACATTCTTATTCTTCTGGATTCCGGGAAATTTAACCCAGCATGGGAGACTTGCTGTGATTGATTAGTGAGGCATTTAGTCCACACCAGATGTATTAGTGTGGTAGTACTGCTGGAGACTTCAATGAAAATAAAACCGTTGTCCTGCTCATTCCCTTTTTAAAATGATAATTTCTAATTTACATATAATAATTTTACAGATTTGTGGGTAAAGTGTGGTTTTCCAATACCTAAATACAATGTGTAATGATCAAATCAGGGTGATAAACATATCCATCATCTCAAACATGTGCCATTACTTTGTGTTGTGAACATTCAAGATCCTCTCTTCTAACTATTTTGAAATATATATAGAATTTTCACCAACTATAGTTACTCTACAGTGCTATACTGCTCTAGAACTCATTCCACTTACCGACTTGCTCTCTTGTATCTGTTAGCTAAATTCTCATCTTCCCACCTCCTTCCCCTTCCCAGCTTCTGGTATCCACAATTTTACCATTTTGGGCAAAAGGGAAAAAGCCCTAAGTCACTAAATATGTGCTCTTCAGTGCATTCATGCCTGACTCCTTGGCATAGAACTAGGGTGAAGCTGAGTTACATTTGAGAGAACCAATGCTGTGAGAAAGGAATGTTACCAATAGAAATTGGATCCTCTTCAACCATCCCCTCCCCATTTTGTCCTGGTCTGACAGTCCACAGTTACTGAACAAATTGCCTCCCTGTTTAGTGGCCATCCCAGCATTTTCATGGTACCCTGGGTATCCCCCTTTTTAAAAAAATCCCTCCAACAATCCACTTTTCCACATGACCACTATTATCACTACTTCTCAATTACTAACAATGATACGTTTCTTGGGCACTTGCTCTGTGCTAAGCTTTGTCTTAAGCCCTCTGCTTCCATTACCTTACAGAACCCTGTGAAATGGTATTACTCTCCTACAGTGCTAATGAAGACCCTGAGGTCCAGACAAGTTAAATGACGAGTCCTAGGCATGCTAGAACATTTAAACCCTGCCATTAGTTTGAAGCCCATGCTCCTGGCTTTTGTGATTGTGAAAACATTCTTCCTGTTGCCCCTTTCATTCCTGTTATATGAAACCACATTTCTGAGGCAAACATGTCCTCTCTGCTCTGTCCCAGTCTCCTAAATGTTCATAGTCATGCATTCTTAGACTAGCCTGTCTGGTATATGCTGTCTTTGCAGCAACAGTTTGATATCTTTTATTCACAGAGCTCTTTATTTATTTATTTTTTTAAAATTTGCTACAGGGCACATGCGCTTGCCAGAAAAAGAGAAAGGGAAAGCAAGTAATCATATTGTCCTCCAAGGTGGGTGACCATTCCACAGTCCTTTCTCTTCCATTCTCCTCTCAGGACTTGGGGCACACACACATATGTACCCAGAGTGATTCTAAAGTTGCTGGGTCTGGGACTCAAACCATGAAGTCTGCCACATGGGATCCATCTGCCTTAATCTCCACACCATCTGCTGGCAACAGAACTCCCATTTTTAACACAGGCAAAGGTACTTTTCGCTCTCCACATTAACCTCAAGCAGGCAGCACTAAGTATTTTCCACTCATCCCGGATGCATCCTTCTGCTGTCATGGTCAGTTATGTCCCTTCTCCTTTTGTCTTGCCCTCCTCTCTGCACGTCTGCAGCTATGGGGTCTCTCTTTCCTGAGTCCCAGTTTCTCTCCTCTGTGTTTCTCATCTGAGCTCCTCAAAGTCTCTTCACCACTTGGAAGATGACACCCAAAACTTTATGCTTCTTCTACTTCAGCCACCCTACCTATGTTGGGGATTTTGCCCTCCTCATTTCCACTATTTGAGTCATCCCTGAAAACACCTCTAAGTGGGTCCATGTGGTTCTTTGTTCCCAGCTGTCATCCTCAGTGACCTCAGCATCCATCCTCAGCACCCAGTGTGGGCATACCTGACTCAGGATGCTGCCTGACACCAATGGCTTTGGCTATTACTCTACATTTTAGGGATGCTCTGCTTCTATATGAAGGTCTGGGAAAAGCTTCCTCACTAAACATGGATTCATCTCCAACACCTTGCTATCCTCCTCCAATATTGTCATGTTCACAGGACCCAAACATCATTGCATTTGAGCCCAGAGTCTAGGGTCCCATGAGCCCTTTCCAAGTGGTTCACTGCTTTTCTGTAAGAAGTTTCTCTAATAGCCTAGAACTCGGATAACTAAGGAGCCTTGTTTCCCCTGCTCTTTGGACTGCTAGCTTTTGCAACTCATGAGCCACTTCTCTTTCCAGCTGTCCAGCTTTACTTCAGAAAGTCATTAAATTGTGACAATTGTGACCATTGCAATTTGTGCTATTTATCTGCAGCTGGGTCCTCTTTGCTGCTTGGCAATGACTTTGTACATCTATTAATGACTCCCTGTGCATTTCACAAGGCAGCTGGTACACATCTATCCCACGCTCCTCAAACCCACAAACACATCCTCACCCCTAATCAGCCAACTATTTTTAAAAAAACCTCACCTTTTTATATCCAAAAAAAAAAATAAAAGGAATATTCTCCTCCTGTCCAGTGAAGTGCTGATAAATGTTTAATAATTTGCTCTTGGAGGGAAAAAAAAAATGAAAGTCTTGATTTAAAGTAGTTCTGGTTTCTGAGATGTGCAAGTATCCCCTGCAGGGTTTCAGGGAAGAGATGAGACAACTTGCTCCCAGGAGCTGAAAGGAGCTGGATCCCGTACAACACTGGCCTCCCCCTAAATCTCCCTGCATTGCCAGTTGTCTTCTCATCCCTCTTTTTCTCTCGCCTTCCTCCAGAAGCCTAAGCCCCCTCCCACCGCACACTCTCTCACCCGCTCCAGGCCCTCTTTTGTGACTCAGCATCTCATTTCTGTGTATTTTCTCCTCCTCTTTTGGACTAACTCTCTTTCTCTGTTCTAAACGTTGCTCAGGATGAGGTCTCACAACTCCATTTCATTTCTTTTTCTACATGCTGACTGTCAAGGCTTATAAAATTAGATGGCTTTTCATCTAAACTCTAGGTCTGCTGTCTTGTATTATGTTGTAAGTCAGAACAGTAACTGTGGTTAGTAGAATAATGGCATAATATTGACAAAATAAAGAAGAAATGGTATTCAGAACCTCATGGGAGACATTACCACATTTATTCTTTCCTTTTTTTTTTTTTCATTTGTTGACATTTTACTCAGACTAGATATACCAGAATCATTTTGTGAATGAGATTCCTTGGATGAATTCTTTTCATTTCAATAAATACCATAAAACAGATGTATTATATCTTGATTGGGTAATGAAAGAATTAATTATATGATGCATGTATGTATGAGGGGACTTCAAAAGTCTGTGGAATGGTGATTTGGTGGTTTAAGGACTCGATCCACATTGCCGACCCTATGTTTTGAGTCCTGAACTTGGTGGTTTAAAAAACACACTGGAAACATGTGTGTGCATGCCCAAAATCTTGAAAGGAGGGAGAAATAGAGAAGAATTCACAGTATGGCACCCCTCTTAGGGAGTGCTTTATCATTTCCCCCTTTCTCACATTTTCTCTCTGGTGAGCAATTGTGCCCTCTGACAAATAAAAAAGAAAAGAAAAAAAAATGAAGTCTATGGGAAAATGGATTTAAGTAAGAGTTTATTTTGGTGCAAAAGTTTAAAAATCTATGCATATTATTCTTATAATACATGTTTTCATAATTTTATAATACATTTTCTTTGAACTTTTTGAAAATCTCTTGTATTTCTCAGGAGAATAAACCAGCATGTAAATATTATTTAATAAAAGTGCATCATTGTGGGTAATACAATTAATCAGCTGCTATGGACAACCTGTATCTCATTACCTCTGATAGAACTGCCCCCGTTGTCTCCAGGGAGCCAGGACAAGGTAATGGAGGAAGAGGTGGTTTTGGATACTGTAAGCCGAGGCTGATCTGGTGGAACTAGATAGGAAACAGTTTTTAGAAAACAAGAATTAGTTTTTCACATCTTTCATCTTCTTTAACAGTCATTTACCAAATCATTTTTAACAGCCTTTTATTAAATAAGTGTTTTAGGTTGCCAAAATATGCAATTCACTTCTGTCAAAATGTCTATTTAGGTGATATCCTGGGCTAAAGAGGTAGAACAGAATGAATTTATTATTTAAAGAAAAGTCAACCACGTTTCTACCTTGATTTGTATCTGACTCCTTTCCTTACCAGTGTCTTAGTTATTCATCATAAATGTACCTGTGCTTTAAGCTTACATGCATTACTTTACTCTGAATTTCAGCCGTGAAATTCAAACAAAGAAGACAAATCAGAGATGGGAAAGGGGATGGTGGAGATAACAAGAAAAAGAATCGCATGCATTTCCACATTTTTTAGCTATTCCTCTGAGATGCAACACACACACACACACACACACACACACACACGACTTTGAAAATCCAAGGTGTGCTATTGAGTTGTAGCTCCTGAACTAACACTTATGCAAACTTTGCAGATATGATTTTAGACTCTGAGGACAGATACACTAAGCAAAATCAGAATCAGCTTATCCAAATTATATAAAAAGCTTCACACAAAATGCCCTTTTTTCTTCCTCTGAGAAGCTTGACTATTGACCCAAAGGCCTGGAAAAATTGAAGCATCTCTCTCTTTTTTTTTTTTTGGAGAGGTTTTTGCTATAGGGTGCGTGCACTCACCAGACAGAGACAGACAGAGAGACAGAAAGCGAGAAATCACCCCACAGGGGGCATGGCCACGCGGCAATCCTTTCTCCTCTGTTCTCCTCTTGGGATCTTGGGCACACATGCACATGCGCCCAGCATGAGTTTTAAGCCACTGGGTCTGGGCTGTGAATTGCAGTCAACTACGTGGGAGTCCAGCGACATAGCCATTATGCTAACTGCTGGTCCCAAGCATCTCTTTAGAATCATGATATAGTCTATATAGAGAATCTATCTTCTAAAATTCTCTGGAATTCTTGTGACTTCAATTTACTTGAAATTTAAGTTCAATTTTGCAATATTTATAAAAATAGTTCTTCTCCTTTCTTTTCATCCCACTAAGGACAGCATTGATTTTATTTTTACTTGTTGTAATCTATTAATGTGGCAGCCACTAGATCCAAAGAAGCATCCACCTGGACTTTCTACCAATGAAATATTGCTATACATCCAATATGAACACAATCAGTGGCCCTTTGTGATTTTAAACACAATTTTAATATGATGACCTCTTGAAATCATTGTGCACATTTTATGCATGACATCCAGAAAAACTGAAATGCCTTGTATTAGGTACATAGTTAGATATTACAGCAATACACTCAGACTCTCAGGTCCTGTCTTTTGTGCATACATTGTATATGAAGAACTGAGTTAATTTGCAGACATAAAAGACCACAGATAAAACTTATTTGCATTTGTGTTTTCTGAGTTTTACTTAAATATATGTATAAACAGTGCAATTAGTGAAAAGTGATGAAGGACTTTTTTAGAAATGCACACTTAAAAAAAAAGAGACTGGGTGTTTTATACAAAAATGTAGCACATCCAGTATCATCTCTGGAATTATAAATAATTGATTTGGTTTGATTTGCTTAGTTCTAGTTTCTGAAATGGACATGTATTTTTTTATAACACAACTATAAAAATTAGACCTTTAAATTAAGGCTGATTTTTATATTTATTCAGTTTTACTCCTTGTATGTAAAGCATACATGCAAGAGATGTCTTTAAAAAGGGTGCTCATTTTTGTACCTTGTACTTGTAAGTTTAAAATAATTTCATCTGATCCCCAGTTGTTATTGGCGATGCAGCTGTAGTAGCCGGAGTCTTCTGCTTTCACAGTGCGGATAATGAAGCTTCCGTTGCTGAAGATGCCCCTTCGCCCATCAATCGTTACTAGACTGGGTGTCCCGTTACTACCTCACAGGAAGAAAAATGCACAGATTAAAGAAATTACAATCCACATTAGCTGAGTTTGGGGAAAAGCATAAAATCTCTGGAGTAAACAATACATTTGGAAGCTTAATATTGTTTATATTATAAAAAGAATTGAACTATGACTATATAACAAAAAACATCAAATAGCTGAGTTTTTTCCTCTTGAAGAGGTTATGGTGAAGGTCAGCTCTAGGTCAAGGACTCAGATTCTGGCTTGACTCAGTGAGCTCCTCATACATGTCCCTGGTGGGGCTCTTTTCCTCTACTGCGTAGGCACTGGTGACTTCCTCTTTTTGACAATTTTTGAGCTCCTTGTGTGAGAAGAAGTAACAATTTGACCAAAACATATAGGGAAAATTAAGTCTTGGGGTCTCTTACAAATTTATTTAAAGTTCAGTTATTGATAGTTTTGACATGAAAAAGTAAAATGTGGCATCTCAAGAGGGCAAGAACTCCAGTGTGAAACAATTTCCCAGGTCATCATAACCACTGCTACGGTGACAGATTGTCTACTCATCTGGGATCATTTCCACATTGGGTAGAATGCCAACTGGACCTTGGGAGACTACATATCTCCTTTAACCTAAGTGACTTAAAATATGGTAACAAGAGTGGTCATTGGACCAAGTCCATTATTTCAATAATTTATGCCTTTGAAGCTCTTTTGATTGAAAATAGGCACTCTTTCAAAGCCATTCTATCAAAACTCTAGGTTCATAAATGAGTTTCAATCATCGGTTTGTATCCCAACTTCTTTCACTGAATATGAGGAGTTCTTTAAAAAGTTCATGGAAAACACAGGTTATAAAAATCTATGCATGGATTTCAAATTTTTTTCCCATCAAAGTAAACTCATACTGGGACCAGCAGTTAGCATAATGGCTATGTTACTGGACTCCCATGTAGTCCACCATGGTTTTTGAGTCCCGGACCCAGTGGCTTAAACTCATGATGGGTGCATGTGCGTGCATGCCCAAGATCCTGAGAGGAGAATGGAGGAGAAGGAATTGCGTCATGGCCATCTCCCCTGGGGGATGATTTCTCGCTTTCTATCTCTGTGTTTCTTTCTCTTTCTGGTGAGCGCACATGCCCTATAGCAAATACCTCTCCAAAAAAAGAAAGAAAAAAAAGAAAAAGAAAAAAGAAATAAACTCATACTTCCATTCCATTTTTCCAAAAACTTTGAAATCTCCTCATAGAGATAAAGCCCTTTAAAAAGTTATAAGGGCAGAATATATCTCACCCACTTCTTCCTTTCTATCTTGGCTGCTATCCTTTTAATAATTATTACTAAGTATGGAGTACTGCAGTTATTTTCTAGAGTATTTGAATTAGAGTTAGTTGGTTCATTATCTCTGCAGGAAAAGACATAGGTGTTAAGTCACACGAACACCTTGAGTAGATTCATCTCAGTTACATAATCTACTTGATAAAGTATAGAAAATGTTCACAATAATTAGGGTTGGTTACACCATTTTCCTTTTGTGTACCCTGTTATGAACTTAAAGCTCTGAATTTATAGAGGACTGATACAATAGCTCTGACCTTTCCAGTGCAACAATGAAGATTCCCACCCCCTTCTCATCTCAGAAGATTTAGTAGGCTTTCTTGTGCTGTGACTAAGATAAATGAATGCATAAGCAGAAGATCACTAGACTAACACGAATATGCCAGGTAGAATGTCCCAGGGTTTCAGTAAAGGCTTATACTGGGTTACTGGTTACCTGTCTTTCATCCATTTTACTGCAGGTGAAGGATCCCCAACAGCTTTGCAAGGCAAAACAATGTCTTTCATCCACGGAGTAGTCACTGTTCCACTAAAGGTAAGGATTCGTGCAGGAGCTGAAGCACCAAACAGAGCAGAAACCAATTATTCCCCAGATTGGTCCACACAGAGGCCAAGACAACCTTCCTGAGTAGAGCAACATCCAAAAAATTGAATGAAGCCAACTAACATGAAAACTGTTGGTGCTATTTTCTGGTACCAGGGTTATAAGGGAGTTTTATTGTAAGAGTATACCAACAGCCCCAAAGCCCGATTCTAGCAATTTTTCTCTATTGATTAAGTACGAAAAGCCCAAATTAAATATTTGGGCTTCATAAAGCAAGCAGCCCCAAGCTGTGCTTTCCATGAGCCCAATTATTTTTCAAAGTACTTTATGAAACAATTTATCTCAACACCAAAACTGCACATTAAAATATACTTTTAATATCCTAGAGAGTAGACAATACAACACATAAAGCGCCCAAAGACAGGAAGAAGCAAAACTGGAACAATTTCTATTTATTGATTTTTCAGTACTTTCCTGACTTTACTACATCAGTTTGTTCATCGGTACACACATTAAGGAAAATGAATGTCTTCAAAGTGGCCTCTCTTGACAAACAGCCATTCAGCTGGGACAGTGATTCATATACCCAAACAGGAGTATCTGTCAGGACCCTCTGGCACTAGTGCAACCCCCATGTAGCAGGAAGTCCCAGTAGATAGAAAGCAATAAGTTCAAGTCTTCAAATAGGGTCTCCTTGACAAACAGGGTGGACAGAATGATAAGCCTCTAGTGCTGCCTTCCTGGGTGAGTCACAAAAGCTGGCAGAGACATGAAGGCACAGGTCTTTCAGAGGAATACAACTTTCCTGGCCTCTGCCTTGCAAAGGGCACTGCTTTCTGGGACATGGGAAGGAAGGAACCAAAAGCTACTCTCTCCCTTTATTTTAGGCATTCACTGCCCTGACACCATCTTGAAGGCTCAGGACACACAGATGGAAGAAACAGGAGCTCCCACCAGGAACTCAGCCTGGCTGGTGCACAGACACACACCGCAGGTGGCAGGCAGTCCCAGTCTGGTTCTGGACTCATACAGAAGGGTTTGGTGTCAAGACTGTGATATCATTTCAGGTAAGGGTTTATACTGGCAAAAGGAGGTTAGGGAGAAGGCTTCCCAAGAAAGGCCTGGATCTGGGAAAGGCACTGTTTTCAAGGTCCAGTCATTAGGGAGTCATTCTGGTGTAGACCAGCAGCCTTTTATCGTTAAAATCAACTAGACCAATGCCTGTTTTTGTTCTGAGCAGTATGGCAAGAGTAGAGAGAAAGTGGAGATGCCACAGGCTCCGAAGCTGAACCTTTCTGAGCAGTAAATACCACAGCAAAACCCATGTCTGAAGCAACCTCTTCTGGTCAGAGTATTCTAAGGCAGGGACTACTTGATCAGCCCTTGACATTTCTGATTTTATAGCATGGTAATAAGGAGATCTTGGTGAGGTAGCACCCAATTCCCAGCACTGGTAACTTTCAACATATCTTTTTTCAAACCTTTTAGGCTATCTTTTGTATGACAAGGGATGTCCTCGGCAGTAAAATAGAGGTCATTACAGAAATTAAGTTAGCATTTGGGACTCATAGCATTTTCACAGCTACACACTTGAAGAAATGTATTTTACATTGAAACCCAGCAGCTACACATGCATTTGCACAAGTGAAAACAAAGCTGCACAAATGAACACTTTATTGTATTTGACATATCCTAATATTTTCGACCTTTTTCGCTACTCTAGACTGTTAGACTCTACTCTATTGTAGCTATTTAATGTGCTAGTCACACTCTTTAATTGTGGGACTTATGAATGATTTCTCATCAGCAATTTCAAACACACAAGCTAGAGTTACTTCATCTTCAGGATGCACATGCCCTGTTTCTGAAACTAAATGCCTATTTTAGGTCATTGGAATCTAAAAGATCCTGGCCTGAAATTCTGTGACTGAACTATGGAACCCACCACATCTGTGCTTCTCAAACTGGAGCGGGCAAGAGAATTGTCAGGAATCTTCATTAAAAACGTAGAGTCTCACCCTGGCCTTATTGGTTCAATGGGTCTTCGGTAGGTCAGGCAGTTTGTCTTTTAACAAGCCTCCAGATAGTTCTGATGATAACTTTCATCCTTCTGCAACCTGGACATGGTATCTGCTTCTAGAACTGTTCCCAGCCACGTAGCTGTGTCCTCTGTGCCTCCCCTGCCCTGGAATCCTCCCCAGGATGGAGTCCCTCCAGGACTGGTTTCATGGTTCCACTCTGCCATTTGCTCCATAAAAGCAGTTTTTCTGTCTTCAGCCTAAATCTGGATTTTGGACTCTGCTACCTGCTGACAGACTGCTGCTACCTGTTCTGATCTCCCATCAACCACACCACAATCTGCACCAATCTCCTCTAATAGCAGGCATCCTGATTCCTCTAGATCAGACCTTTCTGTCTGAACAGTGGGTCAGTGTCTGGGTTTCAAGTGGTGACTGCCAGACTGGGCATCTGCTCCATCCTTGAGGCTTTTTCTAGCTAGACCCTTTCCAGGAAACTCATCCAGACCAATCCTCACTCCCACCAGATCTCTCTTGAGCATGAGAAGCTGAACTTTGCTGACAGAACACAGGAGCACTAGGAATATAAGGTAGGCCTATTTCTTTTGTAAATTCCCTCCTACTCCCTTGCAGGGATGATTTCCTATTGTCCTCTCCCTTCTCAAACTTCTAACTCTCCTATATTATCCCCAAAGGGCATAATACTTGAAGACCCAAGCTGGGAATCCTGCATTTTTGCCATCAAATTTGCAAACCTATTTGTGTTTCCTCCTCCAAATCTCAGTCCTGTCATTGTCAGTTCTTTCTCTCACATTATCAACTTTCCTTCCTTGTTGGAGTCTTCTTATTTCCTTACAAACATGCCTTGATTATAAACATAACAAAAAAATTAAAACCAGGCACTTTCTTTGGATGAGACTTGCTATCTCCAGTAGTTTCACCTATTCATCACTTCTTTCAGACTATGTAAGTTTAAAGAATGTTCTGCCCAGCTGGTCTGCTTCCTAACTTCTATCCTTGCCCAAGTTCACTTCTGCACGCCCCTCCCCACCTCATTGAACCTGCTCTCATAGAAGTGAAGGAGGCTCTTGTGTGGCCAAAAGGACATTTGCAGTGTCATGTCGCCTGAACTTCCCAACAGCAACTGCCGCAGCTGATTACTCCCTCCTTTTGGAAGTGTCTATTTTGAATTCACAATATACGCCCTCCTGGTTCTGTGCCACCTCTCCGGTGGTACTCCACTTTCTTCCTCCGTTTCTGCTCCTCTCTCTCCTTAAGTTTATCTCATCTGATTGTCAGATGATCTTCACATCCCAGGTGCTGGGGTGTCCAGATGCTGACCACTCTGTATTTCTGCCTCAGTCAGATGTCTTTTGATGGCTAGAGTATACTCCCTCTGCACAGACACCTCCAAGTACTACAGGCGGCTCTCAGTCACCTGGGCTGAACACATCCCAGAATCCACTTTTCCTCTCACCTGCTACAAACCCACTCCTTCCATGATTTTCCTCATTAATAAATGGCACCTCCACTTACAATAACTTGTGCTAGAATCAGGGGTTCATTCTGTCTCTAGCTCCACCCTCCTCCATATCTGTCACTGAGTCCTGACAGTTCTACATCCATGGAATGTCTTAGGCCCATCCACTTATTCTAATCCCTTTACTTCTGTGCTGGCCAGGCTGTGTTGGATGACTGCTAAGCTTCCTCACTAGTTTCCTGCTTTCCCTGCCCTTACCTGTCTGCAGTCCATTCAAGAAGCAGAGACTGCATGGGCTTAAAAACACACCTACATTAATTCGAACAAATGTGATGTTCTGGTTTACTTCATTTTGGGAGGCACTGTAAGCCTTATTTTTGTTAAAACAGAGACTTAGACACAGTCAAAGTACAGCGGGAAATGAGATCCTTACTACAGTGGCACACCTTTGGCTAACGGCTCTACTGTGATGATTTCGCTGCTGTTGCCTCTTCCAGCTGAAGTCACCGCCACTACCCAGACACTGTACTGACGGTTCCGACTCAGATTGGGAATTCTGTAGGAAAATGAGTCAGGGGAGGCTTCAAACTCGCTGATCACCTGTGAAAGGAGACATCAATGTTCCCATATTTAGAGAAGTAAATGGCACAATAGGTTTCTTTAAAAACTGGTTATTATCATGTTATCCATCAATAATAATGAAAAGTCACAACTAACCCCCTTTAACAGGCTGGACTTTCGATATGAAACGTAAGTAGTATGATAGATGACTCATAGTCTACATTTTCTTCTGCATCAAATATTCCATATTTGTTAGCCATCAATGACAAATATGACCCCTAATATGATGGGCCAAAAATGCACTTGCATTTTTGATTCAGAGTAATAAGACCTAGATTTACTTTCCTGCT